ACTTCTTAAAATCCAATTTCAACGGGGATCTAAGTGAATTGTGTTTGTCTTGTTGCAACGAGCCAAACACCCTACCTTACTTAACTTTTTAAAAAAGGTTGAATTTTCCTTTTTTCCACTAGGATAGAGTAAAAAATTCTTAGCTGCTTTTCTTAGAAAGTAATTTCAATTCAGAGCCATGGAAAGATATTCAAAAGAGCTCCTAGAAATGGAGTGGGTGTTTTACAAGCCTGCATGAAGATAAAATCATCTGCACTGGCACAAATTCACAATGTTCAGCTTTAAGTATCTCCCTTGTGTGACTGAGCTAGGAGTTTAGGTTTCATCCATAATCTGCAGTTTCTTTGAAATGGAGCCCGAGCTCTCTGAGGCTATGTTAAGACTTCAGGCCTATCCTTGTCCTCAGTCATGCAGCTCCAGTGACCACTGCTGAAGCCTGCCATGGCTCCTGTCTATCAGGGAAAGCATCCCCTGATTTTCTTTCTATGGAAAAAGGTGCTGGGCAGAGGGCGGTGTTGCTCTAGCTCCCTGTGAGAGGACATGGCTGGAGGACACTGCTGCATCCTGCCCCTGGGATGTGCTGGGAGGTCTCAGTTTTGCTTCTCTAAAGAGGTTGTGCCCTTAATTTGGGCACATCAGTAAGCTGACTCATAAACTGGCACTGGATCCATAAATGCATCATTACAAAGGCCAATTTTGCTGTTGGGTGGGGAGGCAATAGCAGGTGTCTGGCATCTTGTTATCAGCATCTGACACAGTGCCACATTTGGTGGCAAACGTTAGGACATGACAGAGGCGGTGGGACTGCGTCCACCCCTCACAATCCCTGCTATAACCAACCCTGCCAACTTGGTGTTAGCGAAGTCACAAACTCAAGTGGCTTGGGCTGCTGGGATGGATTTTCTACAAGGCATCAGTACGCAGACCGCTGCCGCAGGGACGCTTCTGGCTGAGAGGAACAGAGAACCCTGTATTTCTAAAAAGTACTGAAAAGAGTCAAAAGCTCACCCTTACTGAGCTACCTAACTGGGAAATGAACTCATTTGACTCTCCAGCCACAACTCCTTGTGCTGAACTCTCTCTTTGGGAGAAAAAGTGGAGGGAATTTGGCTGTTATTGCCCAAACCAAGTAATTTAAGAAACAGCAATAAACAATGGATCAATGTTAGCTTTCTTTTAGTTAGAGCAGGTGAAACTAGAAACTAATTTTGAATAATTAAGGTAAATTTGAAAAAAAAAATAAAATTTCAAGTTCCTATTCCCTATCAGGAAGTGGATGACAGAAAAGCAATGTGGTTCTCAATGTTGCTGAAGCGAATTGGTGGGTGGCTCTAAATATTAAGGCATCACTAGGTCTCTCAATACAAATTTAAAAGTCTGATTTGACTTTTCACAATATTGCCAAAAAGTTTGGTCATCATCCAAAAAAAAAAGAGGGGAGGCATATACAGATGGTATACAATTGGTAAATCAGGTAAGGAAGCAGCATATAAATAGAGAAATGACTGTTTCTTTTTATTTAGTGAAAAAACTGTCTGACCCAGCAGTTATGTAATGTCTCAGCATGACTTATTTATTTACTGAAATATTTTTCAGCTGCCTTCAAGGAAGTTTAGATGACTGAGAAATTAGTTTGGGTTGCTTCTCCTGTGCATGTGTGGTGGACCCATGGCCTTGGCAAGAACCTGCTACGGTCACATCTTGGGGCCGCGGGGAGCAACTTGGACCCTGTGCTGCCCAGGCAGCTGCTTTCTTAGGTGTGAATGCTAGTTATGGTCAAAAGCTTAATCTTTCCTCCTGTCTCTGAATAGCTCATAATGGTATTGTTATTGCTTTTTAGCTTCTCACCTGTGGTTTGGGAAAAGGAAGATTAACCAGTTTTCCTCCTGTGAGGATGTAAATTCACCTCTTGTCTTATTGAAGCGCTATGTTTAGTTATCTTAAGAAACAAGATGTAACAGAAAGTATTCTCACATGCTCATCTCACATTTCACATATTGTTTTACTCCCAGTGAGAATAAACCTCACTCGGGTTTCTATCCCCAGTGACAATGTCTAAGTGAGCTTTGAGTACCACCTCTTTACTCTTAATATTCCCTGCATAGGCCACAGATAAGAGCTCTTCCTTATCTGTATTTGTCCACATGCACACTGCAGGAATTTCAGAGGTGAAAGAGTTTTTTTCAGATCTGCCCAGCTGAAAGTTAAAGGGCAGCTCTCCAGAGCACCCAGTAGCTGACTGGTAAGCACAGCTGTCCAGAAAAAGTAGGCTCAGACTAACCAGCTGAGTCTCCGCTGTAGATATACTGAGAATACTTCACAAAGCTTTCAGAAAAGTCAGGAAAAAGTCCTCACGTTGAATAAATATTTCCTTACTGAATTATTAAGAGTATTTTATATCTTTAAACCTGAAAGACTCTGCTAAACTAAATGTAATTTGAGGAATACATACATTTGTTTATTATAATATTTATCAGCTAGGAAACCAAGTTAAATTCATCAGTTCACGTACATTTCTATTCAGTTGCACTTTCAGATTTCCTTTTATCAGCACAGTGCTTTAGGATTTGTATATCACTGTCTCAGAGAAATTATTAAACTCAGTCAAAACCCCAAAAACTATTTGTCTCCATATTAAGTTCTGTAACTCATTTAATCAAAGTTAATTCCAAAATCTGATACCCTACTATATCTTTTAAATTCATCCCGTACAACATCGTTGACTGCATGCCAAATAAACAACATAAATTTTAAAAAAAAAATCAGTCAGCAGTTTGTCAGTCGACTCTTGGACTGCAAAACTGACCTGGTATGAAATGGCCATATTTAGAGAATCTCAGTACAGCTGGGAGTTTGCCATGTGCTTGACCTAAGGTAGCTGTCATGCTTGCAAAAAAATCTTTATTATAATTGTACTTACTGATACAAATGTTATTACTTTTTGGCATCAAGAAAAACCAAAAGCCTGCAAGGAAAAATGCTTGGCAGCACATACCAGCGTGGTAGTGTGGCTCGGCTGTAGCACTGGCCTTCCAGGCACTAGAAATCACCAGGCCATACCCCGCAGAAAGCAGCAAACACCAACTATTTGACAAATCTCGGACTTGAAATAAGCATATGTGTCAAAGACAAAGGATTATAATTAGAGGGACAGGAAAGCCTAGAAAGTAAAAACATTGTCAGAACCCAGCATTTAGTGTTATGGCACAGATGACGTGAACTGGTGTGCCAGCAGCAGGCTTAGCTCCCCTGCCCTCTGCTCAGCCAGGGTATGAAGTAATGTTGCGCAAACAATTTCTGCAAGTAGCCAAATACATGACATTATCTCTATTTATGTAAGCAAGAACAAGTCTGAAAAGTTCTGTATAAACCCTTGTCACTGACTGATCTCTTATACCTTGAAGATGCATTTCATAGAATCATCACAGAATGGTTTGGGTTGGAAGGGACCTTTAAAGATCATCTAGTTCCAGCCCCCCTGCCATGGGCAGGGACACCTTCCACTAGACCAGGTTGCTCAAAGCCCCATCCAACCTGGCCTTGAACACTGCCAGGGATGGGGCAGCCACAGCTTCTCTGGGCAACCTGTTCCAGTGCCTCACCACCCTCACAGTAAAGAATTTCTTCCTTACATCTAAACTAAATCTACTCTCTTCTAGTTTAAAGCCATTGCCCCTTGTCCTAGCACTACATGCCCTTTAAAAAAGCTCGTCCCTGGCTTTCTTGTAGGCTCCCTTTAGGTACTGGAAAGTTCTAAGTACTGGAAAGTTCTAGAAAGGAAAAAAACCAGAATTGTTCTTCCCATTGTATCTTGAAAAAGCTGAAAAGTGCAATTTTATTAGGCTTTCTGAAACCTCAGAGAAACTTTTCCAAATGCCTATAAAGGTGGTGGATTAAATAAATGGTTTGTTAAAGTAAGGGAACAGTTATTGGACTTCATAACACATGCATATTTTTAAATAAAAAAGAAAATACTGTGTGTTTTTTTAAAATTTGGTTTAAAAATTCCATCACTAGAAACACATCATTAGCAGTTTGTACTCACATCAGCTTTGTATCAGAGAAAAAATAATGTTTTGTTTGTGTAACATTGTTAGGCAAAATAGTAACTATACAAATTTAAGAAAGAAAATAATTTATTTATGCCAAGTTAATGGAAATGAGCATTATGAATGACAATTTAAGGAGGATTATATGATGTATTGCAGGTTTCAACCAAGTAAAAATAGAAAAGCTATACAAGCCATAAAAATTGCACAATGTACAACTTTCAGTTCCAGGAAGATTGTGTTTGCAATCCTTGACTACAAATGGAGTTGCTTTCTGACTGTTGAGATAGAACTTCTGGGGCCATAATTAATAGAGACAATCCCGAGCTTTCCAAATGAGTCAGACATCTAAAAATATGATATAATATTGGGCTTAAAGTTGTGAAATTTTTATAAAATCAGTTATTGATTGCCTTCCAGTTTTTGAGCTGGGTTCACAATTTCAAAGTATGTTCCAGCACTGTGAACCAGGCATTTTAAAAATGGAAATAAAGATTACTCTATAACCAATGTGATACTAGCAATAGGGCTTTTAAAAGACAGGCAAAATCCCAGATGAATATTGTGAAATACCCATAAAGTCATAAAAGTCAATAGGTGCCTGCTGAAGAGCTCCTCGTTACGCTAACTCATTAACTCAGGATGCTTATTATTAACTCATCATGCTAAAAAATTTCAGGGAAAATAATGTACATTCAAGATGTCCTTGGTAATCCTCAACAGTCCCTGAGGGCTTTGACAGCTCTGCAATTCAGATGAGCCTTTGAAAGACAAGAGATGACATAAGTCATTTTGGTCACCTCCTGGAGCTGACACATGCAGGAAGCTCAAGCGTTGTTTTCCAGCCATGCTATTGCAACGGCATCTCCTGAACATTATTAATTTAGGAGCGCAGCTCTACCTGGAAGCTCCTGCGTGTCAGCTGGAAAAGCCCGTCGTGTGCAGTAATACCTGTGTCGAGGGATGCTTCCAGAGCAGGGGCTTCGCTAGAATCTAGGTCCGGAGGGGGAAGGAGGGAGTCGAGGGTGGAGGTGTCCCTGTGCCATTGCTCTGCTGCTCCCACCTGAGGCTGACTGGGGTCCCTGCTGCTCCCTAGAGAAAAGATAAGGCTCAGGGGCTGCACACGAGGACAAAGCGAGAAGCATCATCTTCTGCTTGCTCTGCCTGCCAGCCAGCAGGCCACCTAGAAAACACAGACTTCCAGACTTAAAGTGGCTTGAAAATACTTACATTTTTTAATTTAGAGATTCCCATTTACTTCCTCCATGTGTCTCCAAAGCCATGACACAGCACAGCAACCTGAAGAATCCAGAATACACTGGGCAATGTGTTTGCAGGTATGATACAGTATACCAACCCAGGTAGTAAAACCTCGCACTCCTGCTGCCTCCTAAGAGCTGGTGCCACAAGTCGCAGCTTTCTGCTTTAATTCAGCAATCAGCACCAAGTAACGCCCTCCATCCAAAAAAAAAGCAGCTGTTAACAAGGGAAGGAAAAAGCTGGTAGGTAATGTGCTGTGTTCCTCATTGCGTACACTACTTTTGCAGAATATGTGCAATGCAATGCAATGCAATGCAATGATGAAATGCCAGCAGAGAAGTAACATGTCCAGCTTGGCCCATCTATTAGTCACACTGCACACAGTCTGCAGAATTCTAGCTGCTGAGTGAGAATGCATGACTCCCTTAGCTGGCCAAACTGGACAATCTGCAGCAGAGCAAGAGCTGCAGACCAGTTTCTTTCACAGCCCACAAAGCAAACAAAGGAAGGCTGGGGACACGGTGACAACTCCAAATACCATGGAGGTATAGCAGACATGGAGGGAACTGGGAGCATTGCTACTGGAAAGCTGGGGATGTTGCAGGGCATAAAGGGAACAGAGCCGTAACACTGGAGAGAGGCAAGGTTTCATATTGATAAAAGCTCATTCATGCATTTGATTAGTTTGCATATACGAACAGAATTTGAATTCACCTTGTGGATTCCCTGAATTCTGCCCTGACCTTCTCAACTGTGCAGCACGATTATGGTACAAGCAAAGTTTGGTAGGTCAAACCCACTTCAGAGACAGCTAGCATGGAAAGATCAGAGCCAAAGGATCTGAGCAGTGATTTCTCAGGCAGGCTCAGTGGCAGGACTGGTGGTACCAAAGAGCTTCTGAGGGCTGTGAGACCATGGAGGTCTTTCCTTTGGCAAAGCATTTGGTCAAGGAGAACATGATGTTCTGGAAAGCTGTGATCTTTTTAAAGAAAAGAGTAACAATTTTGTTCAGCTGTACAGGCTGTCTGTTATTTAAATCATTTATATAGTTCTCCTAACAACAATATAGTCATATAGGGATGATACCATTTAAGGAATAAAGCAGGACTACTACTGTGTCTAAGTTAATAGCAGCTAGAACAGTGTATGGCACATTTCCCCATTATTTCTTAATAAACTGTATGTGAATTCTTGCAAAATAGTAAATACCAACCTGGTATTTGTAGAATTTTTTTGTCCTTGCTCTGAATTGAAAGAATGAGATTTATTGGATTATGAACAACAGAAGGATAAATAAAATAATGAAATCTTAACCAGCTGTAATCACAGTTAAATTGGTGCAAGCACATTAAGTAAAACTTGGCTTTACAGGAAAAAAACTCAGATTATTTTATTGATAAATACTTTAATTTTCTTGAAAATTTGTTTAGGAAACTTCAGTCTTGAACAGCTAGTTCTAGGAGAAAATTGAGCAATTATCCATCTATTTATTTATTAATAGTAGAAAGTATTTCCTACAAGTGCAAGAATTCAGGCTATCAGACTGTTACACCCACAAGCTCTGAATCACATCTGGCATGACAGTTTACAAGAAGAGATAATTTGTATGAGGCACATGGGATTTACAGAAATTAATTCTTTGACCTACAAAAAGTTTGTCCTTCAAAAAAGTCAGTGGAGAGTTTTCTCATTAATTTGAACAGAGGAAGGATCAAGACTATTGTCTTTAAAAGTTAATGTGCAACTATCTAGAGCTAATAAAAGAAAGTGAGCCATATTTTGGCAGTGAAGAGCTTTATTTTCAGTGCAACTCACAAAGTATAAGAAACAAAGAATAGTTTTCTGTCAATCAGCTCATACTAATTATGAAGATTACAAAAAGGGTGGACCAAGGTTTAATGGGTCAAATTCTGACCTCATTTGTCTTGACTCTTCTGAGTTTAAAGAAGTTACTCTGGATTTTTGTCAGTCTAAATGAGATTAAAATCTGATGAACTGAATGCAAAAGAAGTGGTGTTGTTCATGATTTGCAGAAACCTTGTTCACAGGAGACATGGTTTAAAAATAGGTCCTTAAGAGTACTTTCCCTCCGCTATATATTGTTTTAAAGTCATCTTACAAGTGTAGTAACTACACCTAAATCTTCCCAAGTGGAAACATCCTAGAACACAGTTAGGGCTTGAGTAATTTAGATCGTCTGATGTTTTACCAAGCAGCAGGATAAGGTAGATGTTTTGCAAGACTCTGGAAAACCTTTTTCTTCATTAAACTTTAAAATATCTAGAGATAGTATTTATGCCTATACATGTCTTATTCCCCACTTTAACTAAGTGATGCCACAGTAAATACAGTGAGCAAAAGAAACAGTCGGGATAAATATCACTGTATTTAATTAAAATACTTTCCATTACACAACATTGTGTTGTACTGAAAAGCCCATGGGATTTTGCCACTGACTTGAATAAAGCTGGTATTTCACTCACAGCCATCACACAGGTACATCAAAAATGCTCCTAACCACCTGTTAGGCTAATGAAAGAAGCAGCTTTACTTGCAGACTTTGCCTCACTAGCGTCTTTAACCTAACTGGGCTACAATAACATCACAGCCCTTTGCACAGCAGGATGCCTCTTGGGCTGTTTTTTCCATGCCGGTTGTTGAGAGTTTTAATCACGTGCACTAAATAGAATCATTTCTGTTTGTTACTCTCAGTGCAGTAATACAAAGCTATTGATTCTCTGTAGATTTGTTTTGGAGAAAGCCTCTCAGCTTTCCTCGTTCACATACCCATGCCCCCTTTCCCCTGACACACCACGGATCAGGGAACCAAACTTAGCAGAAGGAAAGCTGAAGTTTTCTTTGGCAGGTTGGCCAAGATACCATAACGACAGCTTTGACGAAAGTCCCCATCTTCCCAGTGATCTACAAGCCTCAGTTCCCAGGACCCTCAAAGGAACAGCCAGGGAAAACAAAGAGTTTTCGAAGCTGCTTTTCACTCCCTTGCAGTTCCAAGCTCCAGCTGTCACACTGGGGATAGTACAACAAAGGTCAAGTCCTTCTGGACGGACAGTCTGGTGGAGCACTCTGAAGGTCTGGCTATGCACAACTTGTCAGAAAAAGACACAAACTGAAGGTGATTTTGGCAAGCACCGTACACCCCACCAGCATCAGTGGAGAAGGCTTCAGGATGCATGAAGGGGTACCTACTTCCCACAGCCCACAAGCTACCATGAGGGCAGGTGGCGTACAGTGGCTTCCACTAGCAAATCAACTATTTGATGATGACTCTTATCGTCAGAAATGTTCGTTAGAATTACAGTTCCATTTATTTTACTGTCAGGGCCCTGAGGGTCCAGGACCCCATGCCAGCTCCCCTGGGGCCATCAGTCCCTGCCCCAGCATCGCTGCTCTCCAGCTGCCCACAGCCCACAGCCCTGCCTGGCCATGGGCCCCACCAAGCTGGGCCCACTTGTGGGTCCACAGCCCATCCCGGCCTTGGTCCATCCCCAGGGAAGTGCCTGATGCTTGGGGCTGGGGTTGCCCCCCAGCCCACTAGTCCCCATGGGGATTCCCCCTGCTCCCACCCCCCAGGGAGCAGCCCCCCATGCAGTGCTCTGACATGTATTTCCTTAATTGTGTATCTAATTGCTTGTAATCACAGCTGGGATTCCCCTTTGCTCTTGCTTAAGAAATTGCTTGTATTTTAAAAGCTTTTCATTTTCATTGGTCTTCATATGCGCATATATCAGCTTAAAGTTGTGCTTCTCTTTTTCTACAGCGCATTACAAAAGCTCTTTTTTTCCTTGTGCTACAGGCCAGAGAAAAGCTAAAAAAGAAATTACTGAGTTTATTCCTGAGAAAAGGATTATAGAAAAACAAATGCCCCCCCCCCCCCAACCCAACAATGTCTCTCCTCCACACTAACAGAAGCATCCTACACTCCAGTGATCGTGGCCCCAAGAGCTGGGATGGCAGGCTTAGCACAACTGGGAAAAAGTTTCCGTATGAAGCTACCCTTGAAACTTGATTGAACTATCGACTCACTAAGGATTAAAAGTAGAACAGCTAAAAAAGATTGCTGTTACAGTCTTACGAGCTGGGAGTCAGGAGTTTCCTGGAGGTTTCCAAGAAGCTATGGCACAAGGGACCAGGGGATGCTGGATTTGGCCAAATATCCTTTTCTCTGTGGTCCTGGGAGGTAGTGAGATCAGATGTCCCTACGTTCTCTTCTGCTTTCCAGTGGCTCTCACCTACAGGAGCACTCTGCAGAGCTAACTCCAGGGAACCAACCCCCTGAACACTGCCATTGAAATTTCCTAAAGACAACATGTGAATGCAATTGCGACTTCTCCAGGAAAGATTCATCACATACTACACAGTGTTCATAGGAATTTTCTCAGTCATTGTTGTCAAACAAACTTTAAAAATGCCAGACCCATTTCTTCCATGATTACTGTCACAAATCTAATCAACTGCATACTATGCTGGCTGAAGGTCTCAACCAAATCATAATTTTCATTGATTTCCCAGCTTTTGATTAAAACCCTAAAAAAACCTTTCATACAGCAATTTCAATCAATAACTTAGGAAAAAAACTCATGTTATTTCTAACAAAGATCCCCGTAGAAGATTTCAAAACCTTTACTCAACCTCCTAAATATTTGGCACAGCACATCCTTGCAAGCCTGAAATTATTACTCTGTTTGTTATGGCTTCTTTTATTATGCTATTATACAAGCCTGTTGTACCTTTTCATTTGTAGCACATTACCTCAGACTTGTTCAGGTACAAAGATGGACTTCTAGGATGATCAGGGGAATAGAGAACCTATC